TGTTTGAGTAAGCAGAACTGCTAAGTTCCTAGAGTTGGAAATCTAGATAAGAAAAATGTTTTTTTTTAATAAGCTGTGTTTTGAGAATTAATCAATTCTCTTATCATTAAGGTCTAATAACATTAACCTCTGTTTTTTGGAGATAGCCTAGGGCTATGTATGGTTCTAGTCCAGCACTACTATTTTGCTCAATAATTAACACTGTCTTCTTTGATATAATCTACTTAAATTACACATAATCCTTTTACAAACAATAAACCATGCTACTAAATCTCTTTCTACATTTATCTTTGTTATACAATGTCATAAACATATATTAATGGTTTAGGGACAGAAATACTGAATTTTGTTAATGTTTTAGGTGAACATGCATTGTTTTGAAACGACTCTTTAAAATTTGAAATGAAACTTGACATTCGCCTAGGTTACATGTCTAGTCTTTATCATAATTGAATTTATTTCCTCATAGAATATATATCATGGGAAGAAGGGAGGAAGAGGGAGAGAGAAGGTAGGGATCTGGAGTTTCAGGAAGCTGTTATAAATAATGGCTTTATCACTGCTTGCTCTCCCATTGAGGGAAGGATATTTAATTTTCCACTGTCTTAATTTTCCTTGTAAACTGGAGCAACCATAGTACATACTTTACTCAAAAATAGTACTACATTCAAAGAGTAAAAGTTTAATACATAATACATTTAAGCCAGTGTCTGATATACAACATGCACAAAAGAAAGACCTCAAAAATATTTGCTATCACATGCAGACACTCATTTTCTTTTTATAGTTTTCACCCTCACTATATTAGTACCATATTCCATTCTATTGATAGGCATAGCATCAGAACATTCCACCCCTAAACACTTCATAGTTTTTCAGAAATCATATGCTTCTGGTTCCTTATTTTTAAGATAAAACTTACATACAGTGATGTGTATATTTATACCTTAGCTATGTCTTTTGATGAGCCTTGACACATACTATAACCCACATCCTTACCAAAATATAGAACTTTACCATCACCCCAAAACTTTCTCCATGATTCATCCCAATTGGTCCTGGCCTGTTCCCAGGAGCATTTTTTTCTTCTTCTTTTCCACTAAACAACTGAGTAATATTCAACAGTATTGTCAGGTCAGAGCCTGCTCACATCTTGTCTTACGGTTGGAGACCCAAGTTATTTGTAGCTTTTGGCTGTCATGTAAAGCTGCTAATGACAGTTTTGTATGAGTACTCATTTCAGCTTTCACTTTTTTATCTCCAAAATAAATTCCAGAATAGCCAAATTGCTTGAACATAGATTAAATTCATGTCTCTTTTATGAAAATGATATTCTTATAGAGTAATTATATTATTTTACACTCACCTCAAAAATGTTTAAGAAGTTCAGTAGCTTTACATGCATACCAATGTTTTATTCCTTCAGTTTTTAGGTTCTGATAATTATAGTACTTGTTCCATCTATTTTCAAATAAATGCACTTATCAAAAATTCTGATTTAAGTACAAGTGATTTTATTTTTTCTTGTTTCCTCATTCATTTTAATTAAAATTATTTTTATCCATACATTGAGCAGTTATTTTATGTCTAAAAATAACCAAATGTGCAATGCAAATATTGTCAGTGTTATACAATGTTTATAGTAGTTGTGATTTGGGATATAATTTCAAAGATTTCACTATACAAAGATGCAAAATACACTGCATTCCAAAGCAATTAAAAATAATGTTTCTTGAGAACTGTGTTAGATGATGGAAAAACTGCTGCAAATGATGGTAAAGAATATTAAGAACAAAGGTCTATTTGAAATGCTTTATACATTTTAATATTAAACATTTTTACAAAGTAATATTTGATATATTTTAAACACCTTTAACCAATGTAAATATTCACTTTTAACCAATGTAAATATTATAATTACATACAGTCTTTTTCATCAGTATGTTTAAAAGTTTATTAATTCATGTTGGCTAAATCATTTAAAATACTAGTTGAAGAAATAAATACTCCTTAAACATGGAGATAATTTGACTTAATGTATCAATAATTTTAACTAGAAATTGAGTCCAGAAATACCCAACCTTTTGTGATTGTACAATGAATGTGATGCCAGAACTAAATCTAGGATCTTTTCCTGCTTCTTAGATTATATTTGAATTCATTCATAATACATTATTCTGAAGAAAAAGAATACTGGTTATATGTAAGCCATAATACATAGTATTGACTTAGTAAATACATTTCTTCTAAAACACCCTCACACTTAGTGCTTACTGTTTCAAACACAACATTATTGGTGTCTGGTGAATTTAGCACCTTCTGAACAAAGTGGCTTAATTTGAACTTTTTCTCCTAAGTGTAATTTGAGGGTCAATGAGATGTTTCTCACCTAAATATTTTTTCATGCTTCTCAAATTCTTCCATCTGCTTTACCTCCTTAAAAACCCACCTAATGCTATAGATATTTTTATCTTCTAAATGTAAATATTAATATAGCATAAATAGAGGTTATTTTGCAAACTTCTCCACAACTGGACAAAGGCTTAAAGAAAATAGATTTTCTTCAGAAGATGAGAAGAGTTATATTTATCAAGGTGAACATATTGTCTTGGAGCTTGGCAGCCACTCCCAATGTAACACTTGTTAGCTAATTATTACATATTCATTAGCGCTGCTTTTGAAATAAACTGTAAGGCAGAGATAATTATGAAATTATTTTTAACATAATATGAATAGTTAGTCCTAACATGAAATTCTCATTTAATCATATGTATTATTCAGTTTTCCTGTTTCTAGATAAAATACCCAACACCAAATAGCTAGACTAGGGGCAGTTTAATTTAGTTCTTGGTTTCAAGAGATTCAGTTCTTGTTAGGCTGGCTCTAAGGCAGGAATACTGTGGTAGAAGGGCAGAGTGAAACAAATCTCCTTAGCTCATGGCATCTGGGAAGCAAAAGAAGGAAACAGTGTTGGCAAGAAAGGGGCCAGGGACAATATATATTACCCAGCATCATGCCTGCATGACCTACTCAGATACACCCAGAAGTGTGTTCTACACATCCCCCAGGCAGTTACCAATCCAGCCAAGTTGATAAATCACCATTGATTGTCTCATCATACACCATTTCTTTTTTATATCTAGCTTATTAAAACATAGATTTTTCAAACCAAATGCATTACATTTGGATGGTAAATTTCCAAAAGATTTTTAGTCTATTTCCACTCCTTTTACAAAATGCCATTTTTAAAAATAGTTACAGAAATTGATGTTTCACACAGAGATAATAATCTTTGTGATAGTGTGACTATATGTTAGTGACAGGTGGACCAATTATGCTTAGACTTAAGTAAAATACCAGCAACATCTACACAGAAGTTGTATCCAGCTTTGAATAGCAGTGATGTAAAGGATGATAACTTAAAATTTTTCAGGATTTGTTTATGTTACATCATGAAAAATCACCAGACAAGTGATTCAATAATGTCAGAATGAAATCTCTGACAATCTGTTTATTTTTTTATTTTGGTGGTAAAATCCTTTCCCGGTCCCAACGTCATATCCCTATGTTAGGTGTCAAGGTAGAACAGGTGGTGTGCATATTTAGAAAGTAAAAATTCTCTCAGTGTTTTATTAATCAGAATGAAGTTACATAGCCAAACAGGTTGGAGAATCTAGGAAATAGAAATGTTTGAGCATGGCACATGAAACATATAAAGAGATTGTTGTTCTGTTAGTACAGGAAAAGAAAATAATTGATATTGGGAAGGAAAGTAGTAGCCCTTGAATAAAATTGTTTACACGATACATCTCTTTCTACAAATTTTATTCTATACTAAAAAGCTTCAGTTAACTACATACAGAAACAGAACTCAAATATATACAGTGTATATTAGAATATACCTTTCTCCTAACTACTTCCCTCATATGTAGTCAAAATCATGTCTAATTTTACATAACTGTTATCACCATAAATCTTTACACATGCTTATTACCATGCAATCCTCAGAGAGCTCACTTTCTAGCTGTTAAAAGAGTAATGATTCTGCATTGTCCTCACCACACGATGTTTAATGAATGATATTGTGCTACTCAGAACGGGATCCTTCTTAAGCTCAGAAATCCAAACAAAACCAAAATTTATTTAAAGGAAGAGTGAAAAATCACTTTCCCTTCATCATTGTGTATGGATAGTGAGGTGACAAAACTTGGGAAAAGCAGGGCGGGAAAACAACTGGAAACTTTTAGGGTGTACAAAGACACAAGATTAGCCCTCAAAATCAATTTGTAAAGTTTCCATCTGTAGCAAGTTAGTAAGCAAAGTATTAAGAAATGACCATATAGTACTTGAATAATTTGGTATAATCCTATAATGTGAACAACTGAAAAATGGAGAAAAATATCATCCAGTTCCCATAACCTGCCTCTTCAGAAATTCCAGAAGATCTGGAATTGATTTAAGCATCATTCAAATGAATGCACCCGACAGATTTACAGGTACAGAGTTGGTCTTTAGGATGGCATATTGTGGAGATTTATAAGATGGAGTTAGGCAAGTACTGGAGAAACTCTTCTTTCTGGTAATAAGTTACCCTTTCTAAACTATCTGCTTTATTAAATTCTATAAGTGGTCTTCATTATATCCACAGGAAAGGTAAATAATAATTAATAGTAGGTATATAATGTTACTTATATAAAACACACATATAATGATTTAGGAGGAGGACATAGATTTCAATGTTTTTTCTCGTCTAATTTTCTCATAGTCTTAAATCTATTAATAAATAATATTCTATGATATTCTTTCTTTTGTCCTAGAAACTATTAGTCCCATTAGAAGATAATTTACTGTGTGTAATTGTATGAAAAGAGTGCTCCAAATATGCATTTGTTCTTCTTGTTATTTGAGTAGACTCAAATTAATCTAATGCCATATATATGAATATATACATATATAGTGTGTGTTCTATATGTTTTGTTATTTTTCCTGTTTTCATCCAGTGTTTGGAAATGATGGATTTTATGTGATATTGAAAGGCTTAGCTCGACCTTACACAGGTTTGTGTGAAAATCTGACTGAAGAAAGTGACTTAACAGCTTCTATTATACCTCAGATCAGTGTTGTTTTCGATGAAGGCCTAAAAACCTATCCAACTGCTGAGATCTTCCTACCTCCACATGACTTAATGGTAAGAGACCAAAAGTCTGCTTCTTTCATAAATCTGGGTAACAGAATTGTCAAATTTTATCTCTTTAGTATATTTAGATCCAAATATCATGAGTCCTAAAGTAGTCACGATAAAATATCTTTTAGTTGGAAATTTGATTAAAAGGTTTTTGATGTGGAATGCCTTTGACATCATGTTGTATACTGGCAGAGGCTGTGTGATATACTTGGTCACCAAGACAAGGTCAATGTGCCTGGTTCGCTGAAAGAGAAAGGATGTAGTTTATGATGTAGGAATGTGCAGGGATGACTTGAGGAGGGGGAAACAGAGGAGTAATCATGAAAAATCTTTAAAATCAAGTCAAGAGTGTGTGTTTATCATGTTTATCTCAAGGGCAATGCTAAAGCAATCAAGGGTTTGATTGCATTATAATAGGAAATTATTACTTGAACAATTTTTTTGCCTACATGTACTATTTAACAATTACTCAATTCAGCTGGTCAGAAAATACAAAGCTCAATTTCTTTTAGCATCTCTGGATGGTCTACATGGGGCTTATGTCTGGTTTGAGTAAAATAGTGACTAAAAAGCTAGTTCCAGAGTTAAGCTGTCCAGGATGCCTATAGTAAGAAAGAGTTAAAAGTATGAATTAAGTCCAAATTAGTATCATATGGATCAAAGATAGGAACACCAAGAACCAATAGCAAGGCCAAAAATAATGAATATGGGATGAACTCAAGAATTATTCATATACAATCTATTTTGGATCCATTTGCTTATTAAAAGGCTCAAATGCATGAATTAAAATTGGGGTGAGATGGGCACCACTGCTTCCTCATTCTGCATTAAGTTGCTGACAGCAGCATTTACCTGCTATTCTATGTGAAGTATGATATTGTTTCCATTTGTTTTCTTGCCCAGGGTGGGGAGAGAGAGAGAGACTATATCTTCTTTACTGTGACTGTTTTTAGCAGAGAGGCCAAGGACCTAATGAGGGGGGTTTTTCCCCAATCATCAAATATCCATTCTAATCATGTCACATTTCTGGTAATGCTCAAACTTTTAACCTGATTAATTTGGGGGTATTTGTATTAAACAAGTTAGCTCATCAACTGTAAAAGTAAAATATAATAAATTTCACATTATCTTTTAGCAAGTGGGATGATTATTGCCTTGGTAATCCTTATAAAATTAATATTTCAATAATAATAGTAATAATAATAAGTTTATTTTGTTCTTACCCTCCTGCCCTTGTACATATTAACGCAATGATGTGAAAACATCTCTCACAGCTTTGGATACAGTGAAGCAGGTTTGGGTAAGGTAGTTGGGAAAGAAAAAGGGGGAGAATAGCGAGAGGGTTCCGGGACTGGCCTACATGAACAGAGCTGATTACTTAATGTGATTGCTTTATTGTGGACATGCAGAATTTGATGGGCTTTGGACCTATTTTTTAATGTAGAATTTTATAGATTGGACATAAAGTATGACATAAAGCCTTCAATGATCATTTCTAGAATTTTGAACGGAGCATATTGGTGAATGTTTATATAGACAATAATACTGGGAAGACTAACAAGAGTATTTGAGAATGAAAATTTAAAGTCATGATTTAGCCATGTCGAGTTTGATTATTTTGAAATGTTGATTATTTACCCAAGTGAACATGTTGACTGGCTGAAAAATGAGTGAAATGTTTAGGAGTATCTTGGTGTTGACTACAGAGTCGTAGACATATTGATACTTTGGAGAACCACCATACCAGGTCTGTTCTTAAGCAATAAAAACATTGGCTGGGAAGGTAGATGGTGAAAATGTACTCCACATTTATTACAGCCGGAGTTTATGATTTCATTTAGATTACTATAATGCCTTCCGAATGATTTCCATCCTTTCATGTACAGTATATATTGATTTCTAATATTCAGACTTTCTGATGTTAAACACAGTAAATCATTTCATGAATCTACGTGTTTTTTTAGATACATTTTGAGTTTTTTTAGTTACACATAAGGTCTATCCCTTTTCATGATTTCTTGTATGTTGCCTGCCTTTTCTCTCAGTCTCCTATAAACATACACGTTTTTCCAGCCATTCCAGCCTTTATAGGTTACATTCAAGTTCTTCTCCTTTGTATCACCAAGATTTCTATCGAATCCTGAAACCTCGTGGTTTTCACTGAAAACAGAGTGAGATAAATGCAACTCTTCCATATTCCCGCTGGTTCATATCCTTTGATCTAGCCTAGCATTTTATATGTGACTTAACTTCAAATTAGCTATTATTCATCAATAGACACTTTTTAAATAAAAGATGTCGTTTAATTTTTATGAAAACCTTTAGGAATAAAGAAAACTAAGACAATAAGGCCTACTATTAAAGCACTGGCATTCTACTGAGGGAAACACACATGAAAATCAGGTTAGCTCATGTGCTCAAATAAAACGTACGAAAATGGTGGGAAGAAATTCCTATTTAGAAGGGAAATGTGATCCTTGAAATTAGAATTTCAGTGCTATATTAAACCATATTTCAGAAAAACAATGTAAGAAAATGCTAAGAGAGGAGATAGTACAAATAATACACCTTGGAAAGTAGACTTCTCTAATTTTTAAAGAACATATTTCCTAAGTTTATTTAGTACTTTAAACATTTTTTAGGCTAAAGAAAATCATTGAAGATTTTTGGGGAGAAATGTGAAATAAAACATGTACATTTTAGAGGTTAATTTTCATTGGTATGAATTATATATCTTAGTAGACAGAGGCTGGAGACAAGAGAATCAAAGAAAGTTACTGAAATGGCCTATGTTGTGGATAATAATTTCCTGAGTTTAGGCAGTGGATAGACAAAAGTGAAAGAAGCCTAGCACTCAAGAAACACGTCATATTAAGTGACAAATGAATAAGATTGAGGAAAGTATTATACATCTCCATGATGTTTTCTAGAATTTTAGGGATTTTTTTCTAATAATTTTAACTAAGCAAACACTTTAGAATTTTCCCAGAATCTGCATAGTGATATTGGAATTCTGTAAAAATGCTAATAAACTTCTATAATTTATACTTGAATTGAAAAGATATTTAATGAAGATTGAATCAAACAGTAAACAACTTGTGCTGATTGACTTGTTATAAAATTTTATAGCATACTGATTTAAAATTTAAAAGTCCATCAATCTGTTATTAGTTACATAATTCCTAATGCTCTCATATTATTGAATTTTAAGTGCCATTAAAATTGAAGATTAGATCTAAATTTATTATTTATTTTTTAAAAGGAAAAAATAATAAAATGATGTACCAGGCATAAAATATATCTAAGTCTGCATTTAATATATATGACCATATATGAAATTTATTTTAAAAAATTCTGATAGTGCTGTTTGTTTGTATTTATGAATATGTGTGTGTTTTCTTCAATTGGTGAGATGAAAGATACATTTTTCATTTCCTTTGCAAAGTTTAATTATTTTATCATAATTACTAACTTTAGGGTCAAATAAAACAACTAAGCCATCAAAAATGAAGCAATTCTGAATCTCTACTGTCTAAATTTTTGTTATTCAAATTGTTTACCAGACCCTTATATTATTTATATACATTTTATTCAAATTTCTTTTATGTTTTTAAAGAAAACAAACATGAATCAAGTTTAGGAAATTTCTTGTTTAATGTGTGCCTTAAATATGTTTTGTAGAAAGCATGGAATTTTCTTGTTATTGTCACTTAAATTTTACTTGTGAAAGTATTGCATAATCATATTTAAAAAACAAAATGCTTTGACCTTCAGTACTTAGTTCATCACAATAGAGAATTTCTTGACCGCTTACCTATATCTTGGTTTATTTTATATGTCATTGACATGTTTTTTGATTAGTAGAATTTTGCAGTATATTTTAAAATCAGATAGTATTATGCCTCCTCTTTTGTTCTTTCTGCTCAAGTTTGCTTGACAGAAATTTTTGGTTCTATACAAATCATAGAATTGTTCTATTTCTATTTATATGAAAAATATCATTGAGATATTGACAGAGAAACTGAACCTGTAAGTTGTTTGGGATTTACATAGATTTGAATAAAATCATTATATATACACATGCATGCACACACACTCATGCAGTGGTATACTGTTTTTTTGCTGTTGTTGTTGTTCAGCTTTAATTGAGTTTATTGGTACATTTTAGGGATACAGTACAGTTACATTCATTGTTGGGATCTTGCATCTCTCTACATGACAGGTCTTGGTTCTCATTTTTTCCCCTTGTCCCTGACCTTCCTTCACCCCCTCCTCCCCTCCCCATCTACAAGCGCTTTATTTCCATCTTTTCTTTATCTCACATTTTTTTCGTTTCCCTTATTACCCTGCCCCTATTGATCCCACCTTCCCTACACCTTTAGCCCCTTTCTTCCCACTTCACAATGTCAGTAATCTTATCAGGACCTTATGTATTATTGCAGTTTATTCACACCAGAGAAACTATTTGGTATTTACACATGTGTGACTTATTTATTTCGCTTAGGAGTATATCTTCAATATGTACCCATTTTCCTATGAATGAATCTATTATCTTGTTATTTATGGCTGAGTAATATTCCATTTTTATAGAAAAACCACATCTGCTTTATCCAGTTTCCAACTGAAGGGCAAATGGGCTGTTTCCAAGTTTTAGCTATTACAAACTGTGCCACTATAAACATGGGTGCACATACATCACTGTGATATGATTCTTTTAGGTCTCTTGGAAAGATACCCAGCAGAGGGATGTCTGGGTCAAATGGAACCTCTAGTCCCAGCTCTTTGAGGTATATCAATATTGATTTCCATAGTGGTTGCACCAGTCTGCAATCCCACCAACAATGGAGAAGGGTTCCTTTCTCCCCACAACCCTGCTAATATTTGTTGTTGTGTAATTTATTGATAGCAGCCATTCTTTGTGGGGTGAGGTGGCATCTCAGTGTTGTTTACATCTGCATCTCTCGAATGACCAATGATGGGAACATTTTTTCATATATTTACTT